CAGGGCGCCATGGCCGACGCCAAGGGCACCAGGATCAGATACGTCGTGCCTCATGATCGGCCTCATCTTAGCGACGCCATGGCCCTCGCCGACGCAGGCGCCACGGCGTTGAGGTCCACGTAGTACAGCGGCGCGTCGGCAGGCCTCTCGCCCGTCGTCGTCGCCGTCGCCGGCAGGGCATCGACGACGCGCTGGGCCGTGGCGCGGGCGTCGCGCGGCGGCACGACGGAGAGGACGACGGCGGCGCCGGCGACGAGCTCGGCGTCCGAGGCGACGAGCTGGATGCCGGCTGCGCGGGCGCGGGCCGTCGTGTCTTCGCTGCGGCCGGCAATGTTGGTCGTGACCGTGAAGCCCTTGGCGAGGAGCAGCTTGGCAATGCCGACGCCCATGTCGCCGATGGAGAGGATCGCTACGGCCGAGGGGGCCATGGCTGTCTTGATTCTGTATGTTTTGTATTCTTGCTATTGCTGAGCGCTTAGTGGGTTGAAGACGGCATTCATCGCTGCTGCGACGCCCCCTCGCTGTCCCAATCGAAGGAAGCGGGGTGACGCCATCCATAGCCAGTGACATCATGCCGAGGCCGGCCATCTTGCTGTAACGTGCCGATCGTCAAGGCCGATAAGGTGGCTGCGGTGCGAGGAATATGCACGATAATGGTTCTCTCGTCAACTTGATCTTGGCATGTAAGAGCTGCCATGGTACTTCATCCACACCGAAGCGGAGCCTACTCTACACGAATACATGCGCTCTATAATAGAACGAGTCTCAGCTCTCAGACCTTACCGTGAATGCAAGACAGATCTGAGCAGGCTACAAGAGCCAAATAGATAGAGCGGAGAAGAGGAAGGCGAGGAAGAAGAGCAAGGCGCATTCTTATGCATGACCTCGCCGTGAAATCTTCGTGAAAGCCGAGGCCGTAACACCTCCCCTTGTGCCGCTGCTCCTTCATCGAGCAGCTGGTCTCGCCGCTGTCATGCGCTCCAACGCCCAACGCAAGCCTCCTCTCACCAGCGTCCGCCTTCCCGCTCGGCTTCGAGCCTGCGCATCCTGTCCTCGTCGTCACCGCCCACCGTCTCGCTTCGTCGCCCTTTCCGCCGACTCCGCTTGCCCTCGTCGCCATCGTCACCGCCGCCCCGCCCGCGCTTCGACCCCGCGAGCGACGCGAGCCCGGCCATGCGCTGCGTCTCCCGGAGAAGCCTCTCTCTGTCGCGCGCCTCGCGCTCCAACGCGTGCGGGTCCTTCGTCTTGCTGGCGCCGCTCGTCGACTCGGGACCCGACCTGGGACCGGTCGGCGGGTTGAACCCCTTGTCGGTCGAGTTGGACGGCCCAGCAGATTGCTTCCGGCTGCTACGGTGTCGGTCTTTATCGCGCCTCCGTCGATCGCGGTCCTTGTCTCTGCTGTCGCGGTCCTTCTCGCGATCCCGGTTGCGATCGCTCCGCTCCCGGGCGTCATGCTCGCGATCCCGTTCCCTGTCGCGGTCACGGTCGCGGTCACGGTCTTGGGTGCCGCGATCCTTATCCCGATCGCGTTCACGATCACGGTCACGGTGTGAGCGTCGACTAGACTTGTGGCGGTGATCGTGCTCCTCGTCGTCGCGATGCCTCTCTTTCTCACGCTCGCGGTCGCGGTCCTTGTCCCGGCGCCGGTCGTCGCGGTCCCGGCGGCTGCGGTGGGCAGATCGCTTCGATTCAGCAGGCGAAGCCGACCTCGTCCTCTCGCCGCCGTTGCCGTCATCATCCTTGTAGCGCGATCTGGTATCCTCCTCAAGATCGTCCTCCTGCTTTCGGCCCTTATGCCGGTGGCGGCGGTGGTCATCCGTACGCTCATCGCCCGATCGTGACGTGGAACGGTGGCGTCGGCGCCGGTGTCGCTGATCACTCCTGCGGTTGTGGTCACGGTCGCGGCTACGACTGCGACTGCGACTACGGCTCTTGCTGGCAGTCCGAGAGACGGCAGGTTCGGGAGCCGCCGCAGCGCCATTCTCGTGGTCGGGCTTGCTGTCGTGGTCCTCTCGTTCGCGACCTCGGCTGCCATCGCGACGACTGGCCGCGTCTTGGGTCTGCTGGTCCTTGACCTGGGCGGTTGATGCGCTGCGTGACCTGTGTCGGTCCTCACGCGGGCTCGGCAGCCCAGTACCGTTCACAGAGGTGCTACGGTCGCGTCCATCCTCGACCTGGTAGCCGAGGGCGCGCAGGTTGTGCATGCTCGTGTTAGGCAGTCCGCGGCGCATGGCCTTGGGACCGGTGGGCGCATTCAGCGGCACGTCTGGCACGGGCGGCGTGTACACGCCCATCATCTGGTCAGGGCGGCCGTGTGGCATGTTACCGTAGCCGGCAGGCCCGTAGCCCCCGGCCGACGCATCACCACTGTAGGCGGCAGATGTTCCGTTGCCTACGACGTTCTGGCCAGAGGTCTCCTGCGACGCTACGGCGGTTCCTTCGCCCTTGCTATTGGGGTTGCCAGCCTCGTCATGCTCGGTCGCATCCTGGCCGGCCTTGGCCTCGCCTGCTGCGCTCTGTTCCTGTGAGTCTTCAGCTCTGATCTCGCGTCCAAACTCGTCAACATTGGCTGCCTGCGTCTGGTTGCCTTGGCTGTTGCCGGCACCCGAGCCTTGTGCTGCTCCGGCTTGTCCGTATTGCTGCTGCTGCAGCTGTTGTTGCTGCATGCTGTCGTAGGCAGAGGCCTGGCCATACTGTTGATAACCGCCGCGGCCCTGGCCACCGTAGAACCCGCGGCCTCGTCCGCGTCCTCGGAACCCAAAGTTGTTGTTGGCGTTGCGACGGTAGTCATTGTGACCATAAGCACCTTGATTGTAGCCTGGCTGGAATCCAGAGTTATATGCTCCAAAGTCACCCGATCCCATGCCAGCAGCACTTGCAGAATTGTAATTATCTTGGCCGAAATTCCATGACTGCTGTCCGTTCCAGTTATTGGAACCCGAACCGTAACCACCTCCGAAGCCTCCCATACCCATGCCTTGAGGGTTGAAGCCGCCGTTCATGTACATGCTCTGCATCGCCATGGGGTCCATGCCCATGCCCATTCCTGGTGAGGGTCAGTACAAAAAAGAACGGATTGAGCGCGGGAGGGAGAGGGAGGGGGAGCAAAGGTGACCTACCCATCATGGGAAATGAGCCAAACGCGTTGGGCGCCATTCCGTTCTGCATGGCCATCATCATTTGCATCTGATTATAATCGCCGCCATTGCCAAAACTCATGCTGAACCCTCCGTTCATCATATTCTGGTTGCTGGTCGTATCGTCCGCCTCGGCCTGGTCGCCGTTCTTCTCGGCATCTGCGTCGGCATCGCCTTCAGTAGTAGTCTGAACCGCAGTCTCACCAATAGCGTTCTCGTTATTCTGTGTTACGACCTCTTGTGAGGCAGCGGCAGCGTCGGTGTCGGAATGCAGATGGCCGCCGGCCGGCTGTTCGATAGAAACACTGTCCTACGAGGCATTAGCATCACTTCATGAATTGTGCGTCATATCCTGGGTGAAGTACCTGAGTTAAAGACTCGGCAGCATTTGATGCCGTCGGCGCCGTCTCCATTTCCGTCGACTGCGTCCCGTCACCAGACTGTGCAGCGGCGCCCTGGCTCGACAGCGCGGCGGCGGCTGGCGCGGCAGCATTGTTCGAGTCGGGTGCCACGTCAACAGCAGGCGACTGCGAGGCGGTAGCAGGCAGCGACACGACGGGTTTCGCATCGACTGGGGTCACGGGGGCCGAGTCCCGGGCATCTCTTTTGGCCTTTTCCTCGCGCTTCTTCTCCTGGGTGCGCAAGAAGACGCGGATCGTCGTGCGGTGGGACTTGTGCGGCGTGCAGTCCTCGGCGGAGACGGGCGAGTGCTCGCATACCGGGCAGGCCGATGGCAGTGTTGTCTGGCCTGCGGAAAGGATGGTAGTCAGTAATGGAGGGGAGGGACAGCAGATGGGAAAGCAGGAGCCGGGGACCAAGCAGGACGGAGGACTCACAGTTCTCGCATATGGCTTGCTCACAGCAGGGCAGACGATAGGCGTTGACGGCCAGCTTGCTACAGATGGCGCATCGCAGCTTCGTGGGGATATCTTCGGGTGCGAGGGAGCTGGTGGCGGGGAGAAGCCGACAGGTCAGCGCGAAAGACAGGCGATGACGAGGACCAGAGAAGGAAGACACATACCTGATGAGCTCTGCCTGCGCAGGCGTGATAGTGGTAGCCATGCTGCCGACACAGAAGGGGGGGGGGGTGGTTACCCGGTGGTCGGTCGCATGGGTGGGGGGTTGTTTGAGCTGGGGATGGGAAATATTCAAGTGCTATTAAGAAGAATGGTGGTAAAGGGAAGACGAAGAAGATGTTGCCTGATGGAGAGACGAGGCAAACAAGATTCAGCCAAGGATGCCTAAGTCCATGTTATGGTGCAGGCACCCGCCGTTCGATGTGGATTGGGATGTTGTTGGGGCGGAGAGAGAACGAGGAGGATGAGGCTGTTGGTGGGAAGGGTTTTGGGCAGTCGCAAGCGCAACCAAGGTGACGTGAAGGAGTAGCAACTGCCAACGCTCGGATCTTTGAGGCGCGCGGAAAAGTATGAATTAAAGCGGGACGCGTTTCGGTTGGCCAATGAAACGGGGTTCACCTCGGTGGGTTTCGGTGAGCTCGGTGAATACAGCATCCCCAAAAGCATCCGGCGACCCGACACAGTCACGCGGGGATTCGGGTCTTTCCTATGAGCGGCCTTAAGATGCCAGGCAGCTTCTGCCAGACAGCCTTCCGCCAGACAGCAGGCCGCCAGACAGGGTCTCCATCAGAGTTCGAGTGGCAATAGGATTATTCATATCTACAAGCCTGCTATTCCGACCTCCGCTGGGCCATAGTAACAAGACGAGGGAGGTGCTCAAGGTGGAATTCCAACGGTCAAGAACCAGATATCAGGCACAGGCAGATGTGCTGGGCGAATGCAAAAGTACGCAAACACAAAGGCAAACGCAAGCGCAAGCGCAACAAAAGAAAAACAAATAGAGAAACTCCCGAATAATGACATCCAGGTTGCTACCAGCAAGCCCTATCCCGCCCAAGCACTGTAGCTCAAAATGGAAACTCCTCCCACGTCTCTCTCCCCTCTCTCTTTCTCCCTGCCTCTCATTCCATCGTTCGGCAAAGCACGCAAAGTCCCCTCAGCAGGCGCAACTGTCCTTGGCCGCCGCGTCGCGCTGGTTGAGGTTGACCCTCTGCTCGTCGCCGCCTCGGCTGACGGCGTTGGCGGCGCCGGGCCCCCTCGTGCTCTTGAGCGACGTCTCGGGAATGGCATTGGCAATGGCCGTGAAGACGTCGGCAACATTGTGGCCCGTCTTGGCGCTCGTCTCGAAGAACAGCAGGCTCTCCTCGTCGGCGTACGTCTTGGCCTCGTCGGTCGAGACCTTGCGCGCGTCGCCGCTGGCGTCGTCGCCATCGGCCTCGCCGTCGGCGCCGTCGTCGCCGTCATCGCCGAGGCCGCCGGCCGATCCGGCGCCGCCGTCGTTGGTCAGATCGAGCTTGTTGCCGACGAGGGCGATGACGATGCCCGGCGAGGCCTGGCGCTGCAGCTCGGCGACCCAGTGTTTCGCCTTGACGAGCGACGTCGGCTTGGTCAAGTCGTAGACGACGAGGGCGGCCTGGGCGTTGCGGTAGTACATGGGCGCCAGCGAGGCGAAGCGTTCCTGGCCCGCCGTGTCCCAAATCTCAAACTTGATCGTCCGGGTCGGCAGGTTGCACTTTTGTGTGAGGAAGGCGGCTGATGCGAGGTCATGGTCAGTAGCGGCACTGCAGGGTGAGGGACATGGGGCGCGGGGCTGTCTCTCGTACCGCCGATCGTGGGCTCCTTGTTCTCTTGAAAGTCGTTGTTGACGAAGCGGAGGACGAGCGAGGACTGGCGAGGGAATGGCACGTTAGCTGATGCTGATGCCAGGTTTTTGTTTTCTCATTCGATCGATGGGTCGCTCGTTCCGTAAACAGTGCTCAGGGTGCTCACCTTGCCAACGGCGGCCTCTCCGAGCAGCACCAGCTTGACGCTGCTGCTCGGCTTGGCGGCAGAGTTTCCGGATCCCTCCATCATTATTGTGGGCGAGGGCAGATAAGAAAGAGAGCCGATGGGGATGGGACGGTTGGTGGTAGGGCCCGAGAAGAGTCACTGGTCGAGCTGGTAGCGATGCAAAAAGGGACCAGCGGAGAGAATGTCCAATATCGTTGCCTGATGGGAGGAGGGGGATTGTTGATGTGTGGTGCGGAGTGATGGTGGACGTTGGATGTGGATGGTCAGTGTTGCTTGGTGCGAGAGAGGTCGGGTGCCGGTGAAACAGCGGGATGTGAGGCGCAACAATGACGAAGCATGCATCAGTCCTGGTGGCATCGGGCGTCTGCCTGGGTATGTACCTAGCAAGCCTAGGTAGGTAGGTAAAGTACAGCCATGCGACAAAAAAAAACGACGGATTTCCGTTTCCACACAGAAACACATAGTTTTCTAACCTCTATTACTTATTCTATAGATCACTATAAAAAATGATTTTGATAATACTTATAGAACTTTATTGAATCTATAGCATCTACCAATTAGACTACTAACAGCTATTTTATTTATTTTATAATAGCATTTTAAAAGTTAAATCAGTATTTCTTATAACAAAAATTCGTCGTTCTTTTTGTCTCCCCACTGTACCTACCTACCTTAGGTAGGTCCGCAGGTATTCGTAGGCACCTACGACAGCACGGTATAGCGCTCAAGTTCCCTCCAGTAGTGGCTCGAGGTGCGCTACTGTGACAGGTCCGGGTCACATGGCCTGTGCTGTAGGTGAGCCTGTTCGCTGTGGTGCAACCTCACGCTGCAGGCGGAGCTGGGGGGGCCCTCCCTGGACTGTCGCCATCTCGGAGAATGGAATAAACGAGTGTGGGACGCTCGGCCCGTGGGTTTCGCCGGATCAACAGCGTCTCCACTTGCGAGTGACAGGGCCCGCCAAAAAAATCCAGGCGTTCCCAATCCATCGACAATTCTAGGTCGAGCTCAGAAAGAAAAAAAAGTCGACTGAAAGTGCAGCCTCAGCAGGTATTGCTCGTCAACTCTGCAGACCCAACTCCTCACCAAAGCATCTCTTCACTGCCCACAGATTCCATCAGCCACTGCTCGGCGAACCACACACCACCATGGCCTCCAACGCCTTCCTGGGCAAGGATGCCAAGCCCGCAAAGAAGATCAACCTTCTCGACGACAGCGGCTCCGACGATGAGGAGGGAGGGGCATCTCTGGCGGCGCCTCAGCTGAGGGTCAACGAGGAGTACGCCCGCAAGTTTGAGCACAACAAGAAGCGAGAGGAGAGGCAAAGACGTCAGTTCCAGTTCCATTCTTCTTCACCATGTACCCCCAAGTCCTTCCACTGACAGAGCCTGTAGTCGAGGCGAAGTACAAGTCCCAAAAAGGCGCCCAGGAGGACGACTCCGACTCCGACTCCGAGTCCTCCTCCGACTCCGAGACTGAGGACGAGGACGGCTTCCTGGCCACCGAGGACCTCGATGCCCAAATCTCTGCCACCCTGAGCGCCATCAAGAACAAGGACCCCCGCGTCCGCGACAAGGACTTTTCCTTCTTCAAGGCCGACGCTGAGGCTGCCGCCGCGCCGACGAACCCACCCCAGAAGAAGGAGAAGCCCCTGCGCCTGAAGGACTACCACCGTGAAAAGATTCTCGCCGGCGATGTCGGTGCCTCCGATGACGAGGACGAGAACAAGGACGGCCAGCCGCGGCCCCAGACGTACGCCGAGGAGCAGCAGAACCTCCAAAAGTCCATCGTCTCCGAGATCAACCGCGCGGCGGCCGGCGGCGACGCCTCGGACGTCTCAAGCGACGACGACGACGACTTTGTCAAGCGCAAGGCCTCGGCCGCCAAGCCCGGCCAGGACGGCGTGCACCCCTCGCGCGCCAAGACGGTCAGCAAGGTGTCCGACACGGACGTTGCCAACGCCGACCGCGACCCGGACACGTTCCTCTCCAACTTCATGTCGGCCCGCGCCTGGGTCGCGCCCGGCGCCGACGGCCGCAACTGGCAGGCCTTTGAGTCGGACGACGACGACGAGGCCGCCGCCGCCGCCGAGGAGCGCGCCGACGAGTTCGAGCAGGCCTACAACATGCGCTTCGAGGACCCGCAGAAGAGCAACGAGTTCCTGACCACGTACGCCCGTGACATCACGGCCGCGCGCTCCGTCCGCCGCGACGAGGCCACGGGCCGCAAGCGCCAGCGCCAGCTCGAGAAGGAGGCCAAGGAGGCCGCCAAGGCCGAGCGCAAGGACGAGCGCGCCCGCCTGCGCCGCCTCAAGGTCGAGGAGGCCGAGGAGAAGCTGCGCAAGATCAAAAAGGCCGCCGGCCTGCGCGGCGTCGCCCTGCAGAGCGACGACTGGGTCCACTTCCTGTCGCAGGACTGGGAGGACGACAAGTGGGAGCAGGAGATGGCGAAGCGCTTCGGCGACGACTACTACGCCGAGGTCGAGGTCGCGTCCGACTCGACCGACGAGGATGGTGACGGTGACGCGACACAGAAGAAGAAGAAGAAGAAGGTCAAGAAGCCAAAGTGGGACGACGACATTGACATCAACGACATCATCCCCGACTTTGCGGACAAGGAAGCGGCCAAGTTTTCCCTGTCCGACGACGAAGAAGAAAGGGAAGACGAAGAAGCCTCAGACCCCGACGCGCCCCCCTCGAAGAAGCGCAAAACAGCAACCGACCACAAAAAGGCCCGCCTCGCCGCCCGCAAGGCCGCCAAGGCCGAGCGCGCCCAGATCGAGGCCCTCGTCGACGCGCGCATGGACGTCGACGGCGCCGACGTGACGCCCGCCGACGACCCGGAGCTGACGTTCCGCTACCGCGAGACGTCGCCGCAGTCCTTTGGCATGACGGCGCGCGACATCCTGCTGGCGCCCTCGGACGCTGCGCTCAACAACTTTGCCGGCCTCAAGAAGCTCGCGACGTTCCGCGACGCCGAGAAGAAGATGAAGGACCGCAAGAGGCTCGGCAAGAAGGCGCGCCTCCGCGAGTGGCGGCGCGACACTTTTGGTCGCCAGTTTGAGCGGACGGGGCCGACTTTTGGGTTCGACGGGCTCGTCAAGGAGGAGCAGGCGAAGCAGAAGAAGAAGGAGGAGGAGAGAAAGGCCGCGGGCGGAGGCGATGATGCCGATGGTGAGGTGCAGAAGAAGAAGAGGAA